CGCAGTCGGTTAAGCGTCCGACTTCAGCCAGGTCACGATCTCGCGGTCCGTGAGTTCGAGCCCCGCGTCGGGCTCTGGGCTGATGGCTCAGAGCCTGGAGCCTGTTTCCGATTCTGTGTCTCCCTCTCTCTCTGCCCCTCCCCCGTTCATGCTCTGTCTCTCTCTGTCCCAAAAATAAATAAAAAACGTTGAAAAAAATTAAAAAAAAAAAAAGAAAAGATGAGGGATAAAACCTAAAACTACTTCCCATCATCTTCCCCACCACAGTCACCTTCTCACCTTGTTCAGCTCATCCTTTCAGCCACTCAGGGTTATGTTACAATCACCCTTCTCACTGGGGTTGGGAGGGCAGACCTGACTGACACGACCTCGCTCACTATAGGCACATAAGGACCTGTTACTACTTCTGCTCTGTAGATGAGGAAGCACGTGGGAAAGCCTGATGACTGAAGTCAAGTTGCAGAGCTCGTGAGAAGAGCGCTGAATTTCAAGCTAAGGGCCACTGGACTGGAAAGCTCATGCCCATCCCACTACAATCCCACTGTACAGCCTCTTGGGTTTCCTCACAACCACCACTTGCTTTCTAGCACTCTCTGTCAGCCACTTCGGCTTTGGACTTCAATGTTACAACAGTCTCTGACCTGACCTGATAAATCTCTAGCCTATGAGGGAAAATAACTCCAGTCATTTCTTTCCATCTATTTCTATACTTTCTACTTTCTCCTTTCCCAAATCATCTTCAACTCAGTGGGAAGTCCACTCCCAGGACTTCTACCCCAAATAATACCATCATCACTGTGTTTAGGGTATATGTGAAGCACCAACATTAAAACAAAACCACTTTTAAAGAACACTGCTGCCCTCTGCGCACGAAGACCTTCTGCAACTCAGCACTGACAAGACCTACACTGAGTTAAGTCTTCCAGGACAGGGAACAGAGAAGGCACTGACCCACCCATATTCTCCCCTTGGCAGGTATACCAACATTCTTTTACAGACAAGGATGTACTAATTGTGGGAAACTAGCTGTTAAGCCAGGGCTTACTTCGTTCTGCCAAAAGCACAGGTATCACTACAGTATGGACCATGAGATATGCAGTTTTAATAATCCTTATGAAGATTACCCAGTAAAAGTGGCTGATAAAATCCCAAAACATGGATACAAAGTTATAATACATATATATATAAATATGTATTATATGCATAACATATGTAATATACAATATATATTACACATATTATACATATATTACGTATATTATACATATAATACATATATATACTATTAACCACAACATATGAACGCATTTGCCAAAGAAAGACTAAAAGGTAACACACGTACAAAACGTTAAAGGTACTATAAGCTGGGTAAACATCAACGAATGTTTAAAATTCTTTAATATTATATTATTTGTCTGGTTATCTACTGCTACATAACAAACCACCCCATAACTCAGAGGCTTAAAACACCACCACCAATTATTTTGCTCATGAATCTGCAAATTGTACCAGGTTTGACATCGGCTGGGTGGCTCAAAGGCTGAGGGCTGGGATCCTCTGCTGACTTGTTCACTCCTGTGTGTGGTAGTTGATGATGGTTGTCAGGGCCTCCTTGGGACTGAGAGCTGGAATACCTAATACACGGCCTGGCCTGGGCTTCCTCACAACATGGCAGCTAACTTCCAGGGACAAACATCCCAAGAGTCAGACAGAAGGTATATTGCCATTTTTAACCTAATCTCACATGTTACAAAGTAGAATTAACATCCACTACCTTCTATTTGTTAGAAACAAGTCATAAAGCACGCCCCTATTCATAAGGAAGTCAATCAGAATTCTACCTTTTGATGGCAGACATCAGAATCACTCGGGGAGTTTAAAAATACCCATCCAGACCAACTGAATCAGAATCTCTGGGAAGATTCTAGTACTCCCAAAAAAGTAGTACTTTTAAAATGCTTCCCTAGGTAACTCAAATGTATAGTTGGAGACTGAACCACAGAATTAAGATGATCTCTGAGCTTCCTTCCAGTTCCAAAATTCTAGATTATCAGCCCAATGTAAGAAAGGATGAAGGAGCTAAAAAAGGTAAAATAAAAAGTCTATTAAAAAAAAAAACAAAACAGGGGCGCCTGGGTGGCTCAGTCGGTTAAGCGTCTGACTTCGGTTCAGGTCATGATCTCATGGTCCGTGAGTTCGAGCCCTGTGTCGGGCTCTGTGCTGACAGCTCAGAGCCTGTTTCAGATTCTGTGTCTCCCTCTTTCTCTCTCCTCCCCCACTCATGCTCTGTCTCTCTCTTCTCAAAAATAAATAAACGTTAAAAAAAAAATTAAAAAAAAAAAAACCACAAGCACAGATGTATTTTTAGATGTATACATGGATACACACATGTATACTTTCCAAGATCTATAACCAGTTTGGCCAAATCCAACTTGTGTCTAATACTAATGCTGATAAATACAGCATTCAGTTCTTACTGTCCATTAAGGTCAACTCCGAACAGTAATAGTGAGACAAGACCAGATACTCTTGCAGAGCCACCTATAACCTTGCTGGAATTTAGCAGGCCTTTCTAGCCCACCTGACTCTAGCTCACAGCCAATTTGTAATTACCCACATAGCTCCACAGGACAGTGCCAAGAGCACCCAGAGCCCTCTCAGCCCCTGGTACTACTGCTAGGAAATAAGAAGTGCAAATCTAGTTGCCGAAATCCTCAATCTTGAGGTCAAAACTGGATATACCTAAATATACACACATTATTTCCAGAAGCACTTCTAAATCACTGTGCCTCAAACTAGTGATTTTCAAGATGTGGTCAACAAAGAAAGTTTCTGATGGCCAAGATTATCTATCCCATGGATTGGCCCAACAATATATATCTAATGAATTTTCCACTGTGTAATTATTATCTACATTAAAGTCACAAAAGCATACATTTAAAAATATAGTCACAATTAGAATGATTTTAATTGGCTATGAACTTTTAATATATTAATTTGGGGGGACATATTCAAATGGAAAAGGGAATATGTACAGATCCTAGGTCAGTTTAAAGTGGTTAATTTTATGTCAATGTCACCTCAAAATTTTTTAATGTAAAATCATAATTCTTACAGGAATATTAAATACTAAATCCCAATATTCAATAATATACATAAAAATATTTCCCACTATAAAGTAACATTTCATACAGCTTGCTTAATCTTTCAGAGTCTCTATTTTCCACTGATAAAATGTAGATGCCCTGTCCACTGAAGAATAAGTAACCAAAGGAAAATGACTGAATTTTTATGAACCGTAAGATACCAGATGAACAAATAATTTCTCAAATTTTGCATTTCTCAAATTATATATGGTCTCAGCTATGAAAAAGAATACCTGAAGATTTGGTGACAACTGAAAACAGATATTGCTAACAAGTTATCAACTCTTTGGATAGATATTAAAAGTCCTGTGGCACAGATCAACTTTAGGAAATACTACTTCTCACCCATTTCCTTTACATTGTGGCCACTTTTGTTCAGGGTATAATTGGCTAGGTTCTGACATATGTTAAGAAATTTATTGTCCTTCTCTTCTATCTTTAGGAAAATAAACCAATTCATCAAATGACCTGCCATGTTAATTCTTTCTGTCCGAAATGCAAGAACCTACGGAAGATAAATGTAAGATAAATGTTTGAACTAGAGAAAGGTCTCTCCCACACGTATCAGTGAGGAAATACCTTAACAGGAGCTCTGTGTTTCAATATCTGTTACATAAGAAGAGGCAGAGTCTGGCAGTGATTTTTAATCCTAAGCTCCTCTTTTTTTTTTTTTTTTAATTTTTTTTTTTCAACGTTTTTAATTTATTTTTGGGACAGAGAGAGACAGAGCATGAACGGGGGAGGGGCAGAGAGAGAGGGAGACACAGAATCGGAAACAGGCTCCAGGCTCTGAGCCATCAGCCCAGAGCCCGACGCGGGGCTCGAACTCACGGACCGTGAGATCGTGACCTGGCTGAAGTCGGACGCTTAACCGACTGCGCCACCCAGGCGCCCCGAAAGCTCCTCTTTTTTAAATAAATAGGCAAGGTGTGGAGATACGGAAGGTTCCTTTGCTCAGAGGAATCATTCAAGTACTTTAGCTGGAAAAGAAAGTTTGCTGAAGGCTTTCACAAGTACACATTTTTTTTTTTTAAACTCAAAATGCCACTTCCCAGTCTCTCAACTTTCTCTGTATGCAACAGAGAGATAATAATCTGCCAGACAAGAACAACTCTTTGCTAACAGCATTTCTTCCCTCCTCTGTGAAGCAACTATTTGTAAACGGCACAACTTACCGCAAAGATTTTTAACAAGGTTTTCATGTAGAGCTTTCGGATACCAAAGGAGACTCCAAAAATGGCAGGGACTATGATGAAAACGAGGAGGAGGGTGAAGAGGACGGTCAGGGAGATGCCCAGAAGGTTGACAATCAGGCTGTCAAAGGGGAGCAACAGGAACATGGTGGAGGATCCAGGCAGGGCCAGTGCCCTCCTCCCCAAGAACAAACCACTGTCTTCGGATGGTCCTATCAGACAGCACCAGCCTGGGAGAGAAAGCGAGTCCCCATAGGATAGCAAACCCTGTTCCAAGTTCACATCATTCGACTGCCTAGGGGCAGGAGGACCGTAAAAAAAGGCCGTAGGGGACAGCCCAAAAATGCCAGCTCTCTCCAGAACAGATGGACTCTGGAGGTGAATGAGGCAGGAGCGATCTTCAGCACAAGCATCTGGGTCCGGGAGCAGTTTCTGTGAAAGTGAGTAGCATGGGAGGGATCTCTGCTCTGCTCCCCTTATGCTCCTTTCCTTCTAGAAGTTTTACTTTTTCTTTCCTGCTCAAGAGCATTTAGCAGATAAATCTGTCCCGAAGATCTGTCATTGCCAGAAGTACCAAGAAGAGTTCAACTTCGTGCCAGGATAATCCTGATAACTTCTGTGGAGGGGGGTGACTGCTGGCACCTCACACAGAAGGCTATTGAACTTGAATATGTGGAAATTAAATAATTGTTTTACTTAAAACTCCTTCATAAGCTGAAAATTGTGTTCATTGTAGGAAGTTCATATCTGGCCCCATTCTTCCTCTGGAGAGACTCCTGGTGCGTGCTGCGTCCAGGACCCTCCAACCTGGAGAGCTACAGTCTTGGCCAGCAGGACACAGATGCTGGCACGGAATGTCTCATGCTGCTTGCGCGGAGTGCAACTCCAGACGCGTCTGGCATTGGTTTCCTCTGGATATTCTTCTCCCTGAGGCCCCCTTCTCAGCAGTGACCTGGGTTCTTGGCAAGAAGTTGCTTACATGCTGCCAAAGCTGGGGGTGGAAACAGAAACACCATCAGTCACACAAATCAAGAGGAGAAACATCGATGTGCTTTGGCGGGGAGGGGAGCTGTTTCAGAGTAAGCCTAGATTCACAGCCAGCTTCTCAAGTCATCAAGGTCAAAGGGAGTGGGCAGAACAACAGGTAGCAGACACACGTGGAATGAAAGCAGAGATGTTCCATATAAGCTTTCGATTTCAATAATATCTGTGGCCAACTTTCTGAATAGAAAGTATATGGATATATGACACATTCTCAAAGAGGGGATACTGTGAAAAGTGTATTTCCCTCCTACTTGTCCCCCAGCTACCCAGAGTTCTTATCTGCAGAGGCAACCATATTATCGGCCTCATATTCTTCCCAAGGAATTCTACGCTTATACAAGGAAATCACAATTGATCTTTTCTGCTCACCCCGTCCCCCTCAATCTGGCAACAATAATGATGCCATACTCAGCACACTGTTCTTCAACTTGGGTTTTTTTTTGTTTTGTGTCTTTAGCTTATTATATCTTGCAAGAATATTCCATCAGTGCATACAGGGCTCCCTCACTCTTCACAGGTGCACAGTTTTCAACTACTGTACCATAAGTTAGTTAACTGGTTTCCTGAGGTTGGACACTACATTTTTGTTGTTATAAATAATGTAATGAATAACCACGTGCATATGTGATTTAGCACACAAAATGCACATGCAAATACAAATATAAATATATTTTCAAGATAAATTCCTAGAAATGGAATTGCAGGGGAAAAGGAAGCAGAGTTTTAATTTTATAAGACATCACCCCAGGGTGCCTGGGTGGCTCAGTCACTTGAGCATCCAACTTCGGCTCAGGTCATAATGTCAGGGTTTGTGGGTTTGAGCCCTGCGTCAGGCTCTGTGCTGACAGTGCAGAGATCGCTTCAGAATCTCCATCTCCCTCTCTTGGCCCCTCCCCTGCTCAGGCCCTCTCTCTCTCAAATATAAACATTTAAAAAAGGAAAAAAAAAAAGATACTCTCCGTTTTCTCCAAGGAGATTAAACTCCTCTCTCTAGCTGTCTATCTCCCCACATTGGTCATTCTCTTTTGTTTTAAAGACTTCTTTGTAGACCAGTTTTGGGTTCATAGCAAAACTGAAAGGAAGATACAGAGATTTCCCATGTACCCTGTCCCTACATATATACAGCCACCCCCATTATTAACATCCCCACCAGAAAAGTGCATTTGTTACAAGTGTTGCTGAACCTACACTGACACATCATAGTCACCCCAAGCGCACACTTACATCAGGGTTCACCCTTGGTGCTGTATGCTTTAGAAGCCTGCACAAATGCAAAGCACATGTATCCATCATTATACTATCACACAGTAGTTTTTCACTGCCCTAAAATCCCCTGTGCTCCAATTACTCATCCTTCCCTTTCCCGAACCCCTGGCCACCACTGATCTTTCACTGTCTCCATAGTTTTGCCTTTTCCAGAATGTCTTATAATTGGAATTATATTTTCGGATTGGCTTCTTCCACTTAACATGGCCACTCATAAACTCCACTATTTTAAATATCTTAACAAAAGTATTTCAATTTTAGGTTTCTTATTCCTTTAAAACAATTTTTTTAATGTTCTTATTTATTTTTGAGAGAGAGAATGTGAGTGAGGGAAGGGGCAAAGAGAAAGGGAGACAGAATCTTAAGCAGGCTCTGAGCTGTCAGCACAGAGCCCAACGTGGGACTCGAACTCAGGAACCGCGAGATCAAGACCTGGATGGAAGTTGGACGCTTAACTGACTGAGCCACCCGGGCGTCCCTTACATTACTTACTCCTAACCACAAGTTACCAGTGCAAGCCCTGCACTTGGGAGTACCTTTTCAAATCTCTGGCACACACCGGGGCTTTGCACCAGTCACCTCTGGCTCTGTTCCTATGCATTTACACATTCAAGAAACTGAACAGACAGCAGGTTACAACCTTCACCTTAAACTGTGTCCAGTGCCTTTCTGCACAGAACTCTCAAAACCTTTCACATGTTCTCTTAGAACTTGTCAACAGTATTATTTCCACATCACCCATCATGAAATAAGCAAGACACAGACAGATCCCCCTCTTCTGACTCCTAACCCAGTACTGCTCCCAGTACAGTCCCGTACATTTGGTGATTAAATGAAAAAGACATGCCATTTTGTGGCACCAAGTCACAAATACTAGTTCCTGTTTGGGATCCTCCAGTTCTTCCACTTTTGCACTATCATTATCACTGCTAACATACTGAATGCAACGTGACAGATCCTGAGCTAACCTCACAAACATTTTACATACCCTACCCTCACTTATGTCTCACAACAGCCCTGTGGTGGAGTTCTTATCATCACTGCTATTTTACAAAGGAGGAAATCAAGGCTTAGAGGATCATGTAACTTAAGGGAATCATACAGCTACTAAGTATCGGAGCACGAATTTGCACCAGTGGATCTGTCTCCTAGCCCAAGCTCTTTAACCATGCCCTCCTACCTCCCAAACTACCATATTGCAATGAATGAACACTTCCTTCATGGCAGAGCTGCTCTACAGAACTTCTTGTGGTCAGAGAAAAACCACAAGGCGAATCTAGATTCATGTATCAGAATTTGGAGTTCTCAGAATCCAAGGTACAAACCTGCTCTTTCATTTTTATAAACTGGCTAAACTGACTGTACATGCCAGATTTTTAACAGCACACCAACAGAGGTTGAGGAAATTAGATATATTTCTGAGACTTCATTTAATTTGCTGAGTCACTGTATTCTTTAAACCTGTCTCATTCCAGCCTAATTCTAGGGCCACATCTCTGTTCCACTCTTCTGTCCTTGTTCCCCTTGTCTAGCACTCCCATGGGAAAGAAGGAACAAAACCCCTGTGCCCCACTGGTCAAGGTTACCCTGGGTTCCATGGACCCAAGATGACTGACACCAGGGTCCTTTGACTTCCCATGCCAGAGTTTAGATCTCTTTTCCTTGAATCACAATCAACTGAGAATTCCCAAGGTTATTCTGGGTTCATGTCCCCAAAACATTAAACACATTTAGCAATAAACTAATTTCTTCAGGGGTTGATGAACCATAGCCCAAAGGCCAAATCTGGCTTTGGCCTGTTTTTCTAAGCCAGGAGTGAGCTAGGAATGGTTTTTACATCTTTAAAGAGTTGTAAAAAATGAAGAATAATATATGACACAGACCACAGCAAAACCTATTTACTATCTGACCCTACACAGTTTGCCAACCCATGACCCAGCTGCTCTGAGAGGCACTGAACTCACGCCCCATCCCATGGTTCCACCCCACCCCTCGAGTTCATGTTTATGGGTGCCAGACTCCAGAACAGAGAACAGTAACGTAGCCAAACAAGTTATCTGGCCAAGACTAAACGATCCCCATGTAGATTCTCAGAAGTAAAGAGAAAGAGCAAGCAAACCACAGTTATCAAATAGAGTCCCAAATATCTTGCTGGATCAGCAGAACAGCCATTAAATCCGGAAGACTGGTTGGTGTCTTAGGCCCCATAACACAAACTTTGATCTCTGGAAATAGTATCAGAAAATCAGTCACTTCAGAGCTCTACCACACAATTCCCAGATGACTGTTCACTTAAGAGAAGATATCACTTTGCTTCACGTAAATATAACCATGACTCCACAAGCATGAGGTATTTACTCATTCTCCTGACTTCCACAGCTTTCAGCCAGACTCACTGAGAGTAATTTGGACCAAAGTTGCCCCAGGAACCCAAATGGTCCAGAGAAAAACAGAAGAACCAAGTAGTTCTGAGCCTTTTAGGAGGGAGGGTGGCTTCATCCTAGGAATGTGACAGAGCCCATCACTAAGTTACCTAAACTCTTCAAGCCATTGAATGGCAAATCTGGGACTTTAAGCCCCCAAATGACCCAATTTCCTGGGCTCCTCAGATCTGAGAGTGATGAGTTCATTCATTCAACAAATACTCAATGGGCACATTACTATGTCTCACACATTATGTCAGGCATTATTTAGTGCCTAGAGACAAGTGTTAAGCAAATAAGCATACACAAAGTCATAATTTCACACTTTGATAATTGTTAGCAAGGCAAAGATAATTCTGGGAAAGAAAATAACAGGTAACTTAATATAGGTCATCTAAACCAATTTTGATCCAATCACAAGTCAGAGACTATTATGATTCCTAACTGCAAAACCAAATACAGCTGAAACTGGAATAACAATATGGGTTTGAACTACATGGGTCCACTTACATGTGGATTATTTTCTGATACAATATTGTATTTTCCCTTATGATTTTCCTAATAACATTTTCTTTTTCTAGCTTACTTTTTTCTTTAAAAAAATTTTTTTAATGCTTATTTTATTTTTGAGAGGGAGAGAGAGAGAGACAGAGTGTGAGCGGGGAAGGGGCAGGGAGAGAGGGAGACACAGAATCTGAAGCAGGCTCCAGGCTCTGAGCTGTCAGCACAGAGCCCAATGTAGGGCTTGAACTCATGATCTGTGAGATCATGACTAGAGCCAAAGTCAGATGCCTAACTGACTAAGCCACCCAGATGCCCCTAGCTTACTTTTTAATAAGAATAGAGTACATGATACATGAACAAAATATATATCAACCAACTATTTATCAGTAAGGCTTCAGGTCAACAATAGGCTATAAGTCTGGAGAAGGTCGAAGTTACATGCAGATTTTGTCAGCGCCTCTACTGCCCAGGTTGTTTAAGGGTCAACTGCACCACGAAACTTCCTACTTCAGGAGACCATGACTACCAGAATATACCCAGAGGGATGCCACCACATATCAACTCAAAGGAAAAAAACACAGGGTTAATGCATTTTTCAAGCACAATGTCTGTCACATATTAGATCTCAATAAATGGTACGTACTACCATTCCATTAGGGTCAGAAGAAACCCAGAGTATTGTCTTCGGTTACAAATGCTAAACTTTAAGAGGGCTACAGAGAGGAAAGCATTTCAAAGTATGTCCTAAAACCCA